GGAAGGAAGGAAGGAAGGAAGGAAGGAAGGAAGGAAGGAAGGAAGGAGAACAGGGAAGGGGAAGGAAGAAAGGAGAGAAAAGAATGGAGGGAGAAGAAAAAAAAGGAAGGGAGCAGAAGGAAGGAAGGAAAGAAGGAAGGAAGGAAGGAAGGAAGGAAGGAAGGAAGAAAGAAAAGGAAAGGAAAGGAAAGGAAAGGAAAGGAAAGAGAGAGTACCCACTCCTAAGAGGTCTGTATGGGGCGTGCATAAGTGCACCATCGTGTCGACCGTCCCTGTCCTATTGTCCCCATTTATTCGTACCTATCTGCTGTATTCTTACTCTTGTTTATACTTAGACCTATTATCTTGTAAGTGATTGACAAATCAAATCAATCAATCAATCAATAAAAACGTTTTAATCTCCAGGACGTTAATGGAATACGCGGGGAGACCCAGCCAAAGTAAAAACTTGGACCGGGTACCCCCTTCTCTGCTCAGATTTCACAGTGCTTAAAAAAATATCAACCGTTATAATCATGGGTGGAGTTCAAATTTTTTAACAACGGGTTCTGTGGGTGTGGCCAAGTGGGCATGGCCATGTGACTGGGTGGGCGTGCCTTGTTTTGCAGCAAACACCCCGCCCCCCCATGCTCCCATTTTTTTAACCTTCTGCGCCGCAGGGAAACCTCTTGGGCAAAGCAATAAGACAGCGAGAGGGATCCGGGCACAGCTGATCATCTGAACAGCTGATCATCAGGAGAGGGGAAAAAAGAAATACCTTAAGGAGTGACTGGGCGGGAGAGAATGCTGATTATTTTCCTCTTTGGCAGCTAACAAACTCTTTTGAATTTTATTTCATGTCTTGTAACTTTTGGTCAGCCTCCCTTTAAAATATTTTTCTTTCCTGTGTTTATTGGTGTGAATACATGAATCCTCCCTAAATAATGAATAGGGAGGATGAGAGTCAGAGGAAACATTAAGTAGTGGTTTTAGAGTGAAGGAGATTTTAAAGAAGAGATCGGACGACCATTTCTCTGAAATGGTACCGGGTTTCCTGCTTGAGCAGGGGGTTGGACTAGATGATCTCCAAGGTCCCTTCCCAAGCTCCGTTATTCAGTATGTTTTGCTTTTAGAGTTACAATGTGCTAACTTACCCAAACTGAATATTTTGTATCGTATGGGCAGAGGGGTTGGACTAGATGACCTATAAGGTCCCTTCCAACTCTGATTGTCTGTTATCTGTTATCATGTTAGTTTTACTCAGGGGTGGGTGGCAAATTTGTTTATTCTAATCACACAAAAGTTGGTTTCAAATTCTTTTGCTTAGGCTGCCCTGAGCTACAGGAAAGCAAAACTCACCTAGTCCTCTGAATTTTCTCTGAGTTTTTAGTTTGTTTCACTTCTTGAATCAACGGCAGTAGCAAATTTGGGGTTTTTTGAATGGACATCCGCTTGCTCCTAAATACCAGTATTCAAAACCCAAGAGGCTGGTTGTGCCAGAATTGGTGGCATCATCTCTCTTCAAACTGCCACTTTTTTTCCATAACTGTTGAATTCCCCAATGCCAATATTCTGTTTAGAACAGCGTGGCTGGCTGGGGAATTCTGGGAGTTGAAGTCCACACATCTTAAAGTCGCCAAAATGGAGAAACACTGGAGCAGAAGTTTGAAAAGAGAGGAATTCTTTCTCTCTCTCTCTCCCTCCCCCCCTCCCCCCCCTCTCTATCATCTATCTATCTATTCTCTCTGTGTGTGTCTCTCTGTCTCTCTGTCTCTCTCTCTCTCTCTATCTAATCTCTCTTTCTCTCTCTCTATCTATCTATCTATCTATCTATCTATCATCTATCTATATCTCTGTATCTCTCTCTCTCTCTCTCTGTCTATCTATCTATCTATCTATCTATCTATCTATCTATCTATCTATCTATCTATCTATCTAATCTCTCTCTCTCTGTGTAACTATCTCTCTCTCTCTCTCTCTCTCTCTCTCTCTCTCTGTATCTCTGTATCTTTCTCTCTCCTCCCCTACCTACCTACCTACAGACTTCATACTGTTCTCCTTTGCAGGCTGGTATTGCATTGGTCATGCCACAAGAATAATATATTCCTCCTGGAAAATGCAGGTACTCAGATAACAGATAATCAGAGTTGTAAGGGACCTTGTAGGTCACCCAGTCCAACCCTCTGCCCAAGCAGGAGACCCTACACCACCAGTCCTCGACATACGGCCCCAACGGAGCCCCAACTTTCTGTTGTTAAGTGAGACGTTTGTGAAGTGAGTTGTGTGACCCATTTTGTTAGCTTTCTTGCTCTGGTTGCTAAGCGAATTGCTGCAGTGCTTAAGTTAGTAACACCGTTGCCAAGTAAATCTGGCTTCCTCGTTGGTTTTGCTTGTCAGAATGTCGCTAAAGGTGATCCCATGACCCCAGGATAATGCAAGAATTCTTCATGCTCCCTTGAACAGTGATTTACAAGATTTAATTAGCAATAAAAATATATTAAACATTCTGAATGGTATTCATGGACTCTGCAGGGGTTGGGATTAGAAGACCTCCAAGACATCTCCCAACTATGTTATTCTATCCTATTTTCTATTATTTTGTATATTTTGTATCTATTCTATTCTATTCTATTCTATTCTATTCTATTCTATTCTATTCTATTCTATTCTATTCTATTCTATTCTTATTCCCGTCAATATTTCTATTCTACTTTACTCTACTCTAATTACTCTGCATTTACTCCAGGTATTGTTGCCCAGCAGAATAAACTCCCTGTTTGATTCAGGATATAAAGGTAGACCGAAAACACCTCCTTTTATTGGCAATAATATGGAAAAAAGTTTGAATCGGGTCTTTTGAAGTGGTTTTTTTTTTTAAATTTAGCCTACACTCTGGGAATTTCTGATGATCTCCCGCTCAAGAACTAACCACACCTGACTTTGTATCCGTGCCTAAGGTCAACCAAGGCTAACTTTGCTGACAATTGGGGCTTCTCATAGGTGAGACGGAGACCCCGGCTCTCGGCATGCCATGGCGAGGTCTACTTCGTTCATTCTTTTGCATGCTTTTGGCACTAGGCCAAGCCATTATATTTTCCCCTAATTCAAGCTTTATTTTAAATTAAAAGATTTATTTTCCTTAAAAAAAAAGACATTTTACAATATTAAATCATGCACTGTTCCAAATGGGTAGATCTACCTACCTACCTACCTACCTACCTATCTTCTAATCTATCATCTATTTCTATATCTATCATCTATTTGTCTGTCCGTCTATCTATCTATCTATCTATCTATCTATCTATCTATCTATCTATCTATCTATCTATCTATCTATCTATCTATCCATCCATCCATCCGATTGATACATACACACACATGTCCAATTGTGCTTAGAACCAACCATCCTGGGCAAATGGATCAGAATGATTACAAATGTGTCTTCAAATATTCATTTGCATTTAAATGGGTTCAAACAATTTATTACAGAGAAGACTAGGAATAAAGGAAAGATTGTTAACGTAATTGGTGTTTTTAATTGGTGTTGGTAATTTATATTAATTTAAATGGGTAATTTAATTGGTTTTAAGACAACACATTCTAAAGTTTAGAATGTGTTGTCTTAAAAAATCAGTGAAATTACCCATTTAATTTAAATGAATCTAAATAGGAATAGAACGTAAACGAATTGGTTTCTGCAACCAGACGTCATAAGGAAAGGCAGCAGTCCTGGCATTCTAAGTCACGTCGAACTTCACATTCTGCTACTGCGCATGGGCGATATCATCAGTCGCATTCCAAGGGGAAAGGACGCCCGAAATCGCAGCCAGACTTTCACATTCATTTTGTCCTTTCTGACCTTCCGTAGGTCGTTCTTTTTTTTTTTTCTCCTCGTTTTGGGCTAACTACGATGGAGCGGTTCGGGAGTTCCACGGAGTCTCTTCGCTACGCGGAGTACGTAGGCCGGAGCGGCGGCGGCGGCGGCAGCAGCAGCCAAGGGCCGGACATCAACTACGGGCTGGTCAGTGTCGGGGGTTGCGGGGCTACCGTAGAAAGAGAGCAGCGGCCTAACGTTCAAAACATGACAGTTGCCAGTCTCTTGTGAGCATGCGTAGTGGTGTCTCTGAAGCGGCTTGGAGATTGCGTTGCCGGCGCCGAGCAACGGGCCGGCAGCGCGCTTTCTTTGGCGCATGCGCAGAGGGCTTCATTTCCTCTTTCACTTCTGTCTCAATTCCGTGGGATCTTGGTGCTGAAGTCAGAGAGCGGAATTTTTCTATTAATAAACAAGAGTTATCTTCCTATGAGGATTCAAAGGGGATAATAGTAGGATTTAAGTGTTTCGGATTTATTATATTTTGCTTTAAAAAAAAGAAAAGAAGCAAAGCCAGGATCAGGTCTGGTTGAAAGGTGGATGGGAGACCACCAGGCGATGCCCAGATGGGGAAATTAAAAAAAAAAAACATTCCCAAAGAGGGTGATCATTTCTGTACTTGTGGATGGTAACTACACCGCTTATGAGTTGCCCCTGCTGGCATAGAGATCAAGTATAAGCAATTAGTTTAGTTTACTTCATTGTCATTGCACCTCGTACAACAAAATTAAATAATATAATTTAATATAATTTATATTATAAATTATAATATAATTTATTATAAGGCAGCACGGTCATTGAAGTCTTATATTAAACTTCACACACATACAAAAGACCCATTCTTTGTAGGTATAATTGCTGTTGGTTGCCTTTTCTTCTCCTAGTACCTTTATAACTTTCTTTTATTAAAGAAATTGTTACAATTGGCAAGTTTGGCTGGTCTCAGAAAGCAAAACAGGGTCAGATATACTTCAGTGGATGTGGAGGCTTGATTGGGGGATGTTGAAAACAATCATTTTATGGGAGAATTGTACAATTGCAAAATTGTAATGTTTCAAAAAGCACTAAAGGATATTCATCTAGTCTCTGGGACTAAAGGTCTGTTGTGAGATGATTAGTTGATCCTTCCTTCTCTTTCTTTCTTCTTTCCTTCCATCTTTTTCTTCTTTCTTTCATCTTCCTTCCCTTTCTTTCTTCTTTCTTCCCTTTCATTTTTTCTTTCTTTCTTTCATCTTCCTACGTTCTTTCTTTCTTTCTTCTTTCCTTCCTTCCATCTTTTTCTTCTTTCGTTTTCCTTCCTTCCATCTTCTTTCTTTCTTTCTTTCTTTCTTTCTTTCTTTCTTTCTTTCTTTC